TGGTTTTTCTTTATTAGCCCAGTGAAAGGTATAATATTGCTAGCTTTTATGCATTCCTAATCCATCCTGTGAACAAAATAGTACAGGTTGACCATCACTAATCCGGCACCATTGGGACCATTAAATTCCTTAAGAAACTCTCGTTCTGGTCTGCCAGAGTTGACTGCACTCAGCAGGCGCCTCATAAAATGGCTGTGATACTTACGCTAGCTGAAATTAATGCTGGATTAGTGATGGAACCAGATTAGTGATGGCCAATCTGTATTATAAATCTTGCCAGGGCCCAGGGCAAAGAATATTTTCAGGCCAGTCTCAACATAAGAACTATGGAACACAGGTTCTCTGAGAATGAATGAAGAATCTCTCATCTCTGGCTTCTTTAGATTTCAAAATGAAGGAGTATTAATAAAATGTGGTAGTTTTTATTTTCCTCATTTAATTGATTACCCATACACACTAATAATATTAAACTGAGATACACACAATCATGAACCATCTGCTTTCTGAAAAACATAAAGAAACACTCAAGCAAACAAATTACTAGAATAATTTTTCACATGCTTGAGGGCATAAACCCTTTGCCACTAAAGCTTGTCATCAGTGAAAGAAAGATGGACAGTACATTCATACTAATGGGATTGAAATGCAAAGGGAGATATTCCCATAACTACACGGTACATCCACAGCTTCTGAAGCTTTTCATTTGGTAGTTTTTCAAATAGAAAATCAGGCCAATAAATTAAAATCAGGAAATTCACCTCACTGGAAAGAAAAGGGATAGGCCTATCCTATCCCTAGTGTACACAAATGGAGCAAACTCTTCCGCACAGCCAATTACAGTTGGTGTCCCACAGGGAAGTATCCTTGGCCCTCTTCTCTTTCTCATTTACATAAACGACCTACCAAATGCATCGCAACTACTCAAACCCACACTATTTGCAGATGACACTACATACGTCTTCTCTCACCCAAGCCCAGTCATACTAGCCAATACTGTAAATACCGAATTACAGAAAATATCTACCTGGATATTGACAAAACCTACTTCATTCAGTTCGGGAACAGAACTACAGATGTTCCTCTTAAAATAATGATAAATGGATCACCTATCAAAGCTCACAGAGGGAAAATTCTTAGGAATCCACCTTGATAATAGACTCAAATTTCAAACACATGTAAAACAAATTTCCAAGAAAATTTCCAAGACCGTAGGCATACTATCAAAGATATGGTACTATGTTCCACAATCAGCCCTCCTGGCCCTATAGGCCCCTCAAGGAAGGTTCCTTGATGTTGGTGAGGGGCTCTTGATTTAGGGAATTGGATCTGTGCTCCAGTTCCCCAAATTAAGCCTGAATGCCTTCCACATCCCCCCCCCCCAGGCGCTGTATAATCCTCCGGGTTTAGCGCTTCCCCCTTGATTGTAATAATAATAATAATCCTGGCCCTATATCACTCGCTCATTTACCCCTATCTTACCTATGGAATTTGTGCATGGGGCTCAACAACAATAAATCATCTCTGACCATTAATTACCCAACAAAAGGCTGCAGTCAGAATGATAAATTCCCACTCCAGGCAGCATACTCCACCAATATTCAAACTCTAAACTTACTCACTGTACAAAACATCCATACTTATTATTGTACCTACTACATACATAGAACACTAAGCTCTGATATAAACCCTCCCCTCAAACGTCTCCTTACCAACCTCAACCGAACACATGACCATAACACAAGGCAGAGATCACTTTTTGATGTTCCCTGTGTTCATCTTATACTATGTAAAAACTCAATTCACATAAAAGGCCCAAAAATCTGGAATTCATTAACTGTGAATATAAAAGAAATACTGTCTGTTTATCAATTCAAGACTCTTCTTAAAAACCACTTATTCAACCACAACTAAATAAATACTGAATAACTGAATCTCATAAATGTATAACCTGTGACCCTATCAAACTATGTTTTTTTAGTTACATTACCTAATAGAATACGCCATTCTCTTGAATGCACAGTAACTCATTTAATGACCATATGACCTATTTCTGCGGGGGCGTTGACCCCCGGAACTCTCTCCGGGTAAACTCCAGGTAACTCCAGATTTGATCAGATTATATTATACACTGTTATGCTACAAATTTGTACAGCTATAATGCTTCTTATATGAAATACTCATATGCACTTCATGTTGTAATTTGTTTCCTGTAATTTTCACCACTGAATATATCATTGCTTAGTTAATCTTAAGTTAATTTTAAGCTGCCCATAATGCTCTGTATACAAGGGGCTTTTGGGATGTACACCCAATCACTATACGTATTTCTTTGTACAACTATGTATCATGTCCAAATAAAAAAAATACTCATATTGGAGGCATTGTCATACGATTGGCACTGACAATATGCACTTATTTATTTATTTATTTATTATTTGGACATGATACATAGTTGTACACAGAAATAGAGTGATTGGGTGTACATACCAAAAGTCCCTTGTATGCAGAGCATTATGGGCAGGCTTAAAACTAACTTAGTATCTAACTGCTACATGAGTGACAGGAATTCATGATTCTCACCCCCACACCAGTATGTAAAGTACCTTTATGGTAGAGAAAAACTATTTTTGAAGTTTTGCAAAGTTCAGCATTTCCTCTATTTTGCTTTTCTCGTTATCTCGTTTTTTTTTTTATGCCTTCAGTGGACCTTTCAATCATTTTCTCTGTTTTTTTTAAACAAAAAGAGTGATGATGATAGTTACCTGGAGGCGGTTTTGGGGGTCAACGCCCCTGCAGCCCAGTCCATGACTAAGTCTAGTGGTGGATCAGAGCCTGATCAACCAGCCTGTTACTGCTGGCTGCACATAAACTGACGTACTTTGGGGGCCCAGTCCCTGGACCCATTACGTACCTCTGTAATCTGTAAATACCTTTGTAGCTTGTCATGATTGTGACCAGACTTACCTGGAGTTCATTATCTTTGTAAATTGTGAGTTCATTACCTTTGTAAATTGTGAGTTCATTACCTTTGTAAAATTGTGAGTTCATTGCCTCTGTGACTTGCTCAGCTATCAAAACTTTGGAGTCCAGTCCCTGGACCAATTATGTACCTCTGTAATCTCTTGACTACCGCCCACAGGATGGGTATGGGGTGCATAATAAACATATTAAACTAACTAACTACAAGCCACTGCCCAGCTGGTCAGGCTCTGACTTTAGGTGCCTGTCCAGCTTCTTGAAGACAACCAGGGATCTATTGGCAATCCCCCTTATGTATGTTGGGAGGCAGTTGAACAGTCTTGGGCCCCTGACACTTATTGTGTTGTCTCTTAGCATACTCGTGGGGAAATGTTGCATCTCCTACCGAGTCTTTTGCTTTCATAGGGAGCGACTTTTGTGTGCAGATCTGGGACTAGTCCTAGGATTTTTCTGCAAGTACAAATCAAGGGACTTCAACCATTCCTAGTAATTTGTGAAAGTTCTCTGTATATTCTCATGGTCTGCAATTTTGCCTACCTTGAAAGGGGTCATTAGTGTACAATATTCCAGCCTAGAGAGAACAAGTGATTTGAAGAGAATGATCATAGGCTTGTCATCTATAGTTTTGAAGGTTCTCATTGCCCATCCTATCATTTTTCTAGATGTAGTAGATACATGTTGTGATCTTTGAAAGTGAGATTCTCTGATATTACCACTCCCAGGTCCTTCACATTAGGTTTTTCACTCTATTGTGGTTGGAAATTGTTTTACACTCTGATACGTATAGCTTTTATTTCCTCGAGTTTTCCATGGCGAAATAATGAGTTTTCCATGGCGAAATAATTGAAATATCTAATGAACTTCATATTGTTTTCTGCTGCCCATCTAAGGATTACTGCCCGAAATGCCCTGGCATGACAGTGGCTTTCTTTGTACTTAGCAAATCAAAATTGTAATTACAGATTGTAACCTTTGCAAAGAAATAAAATCTTTATCTCTATCTCTTTATTTGGTTAATATCCACTTGGAGATTTGCAGTCTTCGATGGATGACACTGTCATGCAAATTTGGGTATCATCCGCAAAGGACACTGTGCTGTGGCTTACATCTCTATAATAATATAAATAATAATGATAATATCTTTATTTCTACAAGTACATGTACAAGGTATACAGGCCTAGCTGATATCGATGACATACTGCTATATAAATAGCCGTTTGTTATGCAGAGTATTTCGGGCAAATTAGGTCAGTTTTTTCCCAGGATGCGACCCACACCAGTCGACTAACACCCAGGTTCCTATTTTACTAATGGGGAACATACCCAACCGGTGTAAAGAAACACGCCCAATGTTTCTACCCTCGCCGGAAATCTAACCCGGACCCTCGCCGTGTAAAGCTAGAGCTTTAGCCACCAGGCCACGGTGAAGATGAGAAGGATGGGGGCAAGTACTGTACCTTGTGGAACAGAGCTTTTCACTGTAGCTGCGACTGACTGTACTCTATTTACTATTACTCGTTGTGTTCTATTTTACTCACGAAATCGTAATGACACGATTGCAAACAAACCATACCACGGGAGGGGTTAGAACCCGCGATCAGTCTCAAGGTTAGCACAGGCACCACTGTGACCACAAATGCAAGTTTTTACAGACGAATCTCCAGCTAGTGAGACCATGACGAACTCTAGCTCAAGTCCACTCAAAGCCATCAACGTGACTCTCTGATCGCGGGTTCTAACCCTGCCCGTGGTATGGTTTGTGTTCTGTTTGTTAGGAAGTTATAAATCCATCTATCAACTTTTCCTGTTATTTCTCTATCACGCATTTTGTGTGCTGTTATACCATGATCACATTTGTCGAAGGCTTTTGCAATGTATGTGTATACTACATTTGCATTTTGTTTCTAATCTGGGGTATCCAAGACCATGTCATAGTGATCCAGTAGTTGCGAGAGGCAGGAGCGACCTGCTGTAAACCCGTGCTGCCCTGGGTTGTGCAACTGATGTGGGTGGCGATCTTA